TTGCATATGAGCAATTGATGGTCTGTTCCTCAGTCAGCCCCTGGTCTCATTCTGACTTATGATATTGAGCTTCATTGTCATCTCTTTCCACAGATGTAGTCAATTTGATTTCCTGCATTCCATCCGGTGAGGTCCATGTGTATAGTCACCATTTATGTTGCTTAAAAAAAGGTATTTCCAATGAACAGGTCGTTGGTCTTCCAAAATTCTATCATGCAATCTCCAGCGTCATTTCTATCACCACGGCCATATTTTCTAACCACTGATTCTTCTTCTGTTTCCAACTTTCACATTCCAATTACCAGTAATTATCAATGCATCTTGATTGCATGTTTGATCAATTTCAGACTGCAGAATTTGGTAAAAATCTTCAGTTCTTCATCTTTGGCATTAGTGGCTGGTGCGTAGATTTGAGTAACAGTCGTATTAACTGCTTTTCCTTGTAGGCATATGGATATTATCCTATCACTGACAGCACCGTACTTCAGGATAGATCCTGAATGTTCTTTTTGATGATGAATGCTACGCCATTTCTCTTCAATTTGTCATTCCCAGCATAGAAGACTATATGATTGTCTGATTCAAAATGGCCAATATCAGATTCCACTGTACAGATACATCAATTAATTTAACCAGTGGTTTACTGAAAAACATTTAAGTAGTTTCCAATCTTTTGCTATTACAAACAACATTGTAATGAATAACCTTGTACACCGTCATTTCACAAATGAGTGAATATCTTTAGGTAAAATTCATAAAAACAGAAAAGATTTAAGTCCCTCATCCTTAATGACCATTTGTCTATTCATTCAACGGATGTTCTAGATACTGTGGATATATGAGTGAAAAAAAAAAAAGACAAAAATACTAGCCATCTTGGAGCTGACATTCTAGTTGGGGAAGACAGATAGTAAACAATACAAATAAGTAAATGATATAGTTTATCCAGATAAACAATAAAAAATAAAAACAAGCAAATTATGTAGTATGGTAGAAGGTGATAATGCTATGGGGAAAAAAACACAAGTTTAAGGTAAGAAGGGGCAGGGAATACTATGGGATGGGGTTATAATTTACATAATAGGCTACAATTTATAAAGCAGGTCATATGCTATTTATAAACTATTATTTATATAATAGGTTATATACTATTTATATATTATATTAGCTAGGGTAGTCCTCATTGAGAAATAACACAGCCAGGTGGACCTATGGGAAGAGCATTCTGGGCAGAGAAAAGAACATGTGTAAGAGACAGACGCTAGCCTGGTATCTAAGAAACAGTAAAGAGGCCTGTGTGGCTGCAGCAGGGTAAGCAAGTGGGGAGGTGGTAGGAAGTGAGGTCAGAGAGGTGATAAGGAAGCAGGCTGTGTAGGCCTTGTGGGCCACTGTAAGGATTTCAGCTTTTACTTGGAGAAAAGCAGGGAGTTACCATGGTAAGCTCTGAATCCTGGTGTAAAGCATCTCCTTAATTGCTAGATTGGGAATACATGTTAAGGAGGCAAAGTGGGAAGCAGAGAGATAATTTCGAAGGCAACTGCAGTAATCTTGGCCAGAGAGAATGGTGGCGTGTGTGGTAGCAATGGAGTTGTCACATTCTGTTAGAGGCAGATTCAATAGGATTTGCTGATTGCGTCGACTACGACAGTAAGATGTCCAAAATTTTGGCCAGAGCAAGTAGAAGAAAGGAGTTTCTATTCACTGAAACAGGGAAGATGGCATGTGGAAAAAGATTTTTTGGGGATGATCAGGGGTTTCATTTTGAAACCATTAAGCTGGAAATGTCTACTGGCTAGCCAGGTGGAGATGCTGTCTGGGTAGGCAATAGGATGCAGAAGTCTGGAATTGAGGAGAGAGTTTAAGCTGAAGACACAATTTGGAAATCAATATACTAGTGACTACCAAAAGTAGTCCTGATTGCACCCGTGTGCTAGATTCACACATCCAACTGCCTGCTTAATGTCTTCACTTAGATATCTAGTACAAACCTCAAAATTAACTTGTCCAAAATAAAACTCTTGATTCCCTCCTAACCTAAACCCATATTGTTGCTTAGCTCAGTAAATGGTACCATTATTTCACTTGGTGGTGCAGGCCAAAACCGTGAGTCCTCTTTTACCTTCTCATTGAAATACAATCCACCAACAAGGTATCTTGGCCCTACTTTTTAGGTGATCCAGCATCTGACCATTTTTCTCTGCTTTCACTTTGGTATGAGCCATGCTCATCTCTTGCCTGGACTCCTACAACAGTGCCTTAACTTGTCTCCTTGTTTCAAAGCTGGGCCAACTAAAATCTGTTCTCTAGATAGCAGCAAAAGTGATCTTTCTGAAACAATAAATCAGATCACATCTGAGTGTCAAAGTAGACACCCAGAAAATACTCACTGGATAAACACTTGTTGAATTAATGAACATCACTCCTATGCTCTAAAGCACAGTTGGTAAATTTTTCTGTAAAGGGATGAGAGCGAATATTTTCATTTTTGTCGGCCATATGGTCTCTGTTGCAACTACTCGGCTCTACCATTATGGCACAAGAGCAGCTATCAACAAAACGAACGAGTGCGGCTGCATTCCAATAAAGCTTTATTTACAAAAATAGGAGGAAGGGTAGATTGCTGGCCTCTGCTTTAAAGTTTAAATCCTTTATTGGCTTCCCATAACTCTTCAAATCACCATTAGAATGCAACTTAAACTCCTCACTTTGGCCTACAGGGTCCTGTAAGATCTGACCCATCCGTCTCTCGCTCATTTCCTACTACTCTCTAGTTCACTTTGCCCTTTTGGCATCTTCTCATAGTAAGCTTTTTCCTTCCCAAGCCCCTTGTCATTTGCTGTTTCCTCTGACTGGAATGCTCCTCATCCAGATCTTTGCATAGTGTGGTCCTTATGATCTCTCCTCAAAAGCCACCTCTGCAGAAAAACCTTCCTTGATCATCCACCTTCTCTGATTCTCGTGACTCTTGGTCCTTTTCATAGTATTTATCACTATCTGAAAGTATATAATTTACTTTTTTGTTGTTTGTTTACTTATTTTGTCTCCCCACTAAGATTTATTTCTGTGTGAGAGAGATTTTGCTTATCTAGTCTCTTTATCCTCAGGGGATACGATAAGGCCTACTAAATAGTAGATGGTTAAAAAGTATCTGTTGGATATGAATGAATATGGAAGTGTTTTAGAAACGTTAAGTGCTATTCAAACAGTTGTAGTTGTTACGGGCAGTCCCCGACTTACCACGCATTTGAGTTACAATGAACCACACATACACCGTCTGTGTTTTGGTTTTTTGTACCACCTACAGAGTTACAGTGTGTAATCTGCTGATGTATCATTCTCAGATGGTCACTTGCAGATGCTGATATGTGATGTTTCCAACCCCCAAACACAAATAAAGGTGGGATTTATAAAGATACTGATAATAAAGGCAATAATAATGAAAACTACAAAAAAAAAGAAGTATTCGACTATGTCAGAAAAACCGACTTATAACAAAGCTGTCAGAACAGAACCCCGTCGTAAGTTGGGGACTACCTGTATTCTTTTGGAGGGAGGGGATGAGTGGTGAGAGGAAAGAGTAAGCAGGTGTGGTAGGAATATCATTGGCTTAGAGAGTCCTGGGTTTGAATCCTTGGGCAAGTGTCCACGTACTTGAGAGCCTCGGCTTCCCTCTTTCTAAAAGAAAGATGTCAATAACAGGGAGGCTGTTCTGGGGATTTGATGAGGTAATACAGGAAAAAAAAAACAAAAAAGCATGGTACAGAGTAAACATTCCAGCAGTGCTGGCTCCCTGGCCAAATTCTCCTTTTCTACTGTAGTAATTTATAGTGCTTAAGATACTTCTATCAATGAGAAGTTTTCAGAAGCTGAATCTAACTTTTTAAAAAGTTTTTTATTTTGAAATAATTTTAAATGTCAAAACTTACTGCGGCAACAATACGAAGTGTTCCTGTAAAGATTCCACCCTGGAATTTAACTTTTTGAGTGCTAATTTTTATGTTTCTATTTAATTTTTTTTAAAAAAAGCAGATTCTTTAAGGTCCTAAGTAATACCTTAATAGCTTGACAAAGTAGTGCAATTTCCAATATTTATTTTTTAGGGAAGTATCTATGAATTGGGGAAATTCAGTTTAACATGCAAAACAGATAAAAGTCTCTGCCTGACAGATAATGCAAGCTAATGGCCAAATGCATCAAATCCTTTCTTCTCCTTCCTGAGAGGTCCTGGAGAATGGTGAGCACGGTCACAGTGTGTCTATTCTAAACAATGTCAAACTATTTGCAAGTTTTTCTAGGATAGGTTAACCTGATCCTTTTATAAACACAAACAGAGGGCAATATATTGAAAACATCTCACGCTTGAAGGGTTACTTGTAACACCAGTTCTATTTGGTTGCAGTGATGCATTCAAATACCAGCAGATAATGCAACTGCTTAGAATTGCTGACAACTGATTTGTTACTACACAAACAGACCATCAGTTGTTCCGGGTCCTCAACCATTCGTGCCATCAAAACTCTTTGAAATACTTCACTTCACCTGCTGATAAGATCACTCACTCATCAATGGTTATCGTCAAATGATCCTTTATTAAGGGCATTATAGAAATGAATAAGGTGTGACTGAACTGATGTCAATATAAACTGTTCATTAAAGAGGTGATGTTTATGTAGTAGTCAAAGCATACAGCTCAGCAGAATGCTTTTGGAAAATGATATTAATTTGAATAAAACAATTTTGAATAGCCTTAAGGGTTTTCAGCACATCTTGGAAAAATATGTATCTCTATCCAGAGTTTTAAATTAATTGATTTAAAAAAATTTAGCCAGAACGCTTAGGATACAGAGAAAAAAGAATGAAATAGATCCAAAGTATCTACTAATCCACAGAGGTGCAAAAGAATCAACAAAAGGGCAATATATTTTATATTTCTCTATTTCCTTGTAATAGAATTACAAGATAATAATATATCTAGCAAAATAAATATAGGGATTAGATACCTTTTCTTCAGGTATACTGTAACGCACATTTTCCAAAAATATGGATGTATTTTCCACATTAGTATACCTCAAAAGAATGTGAGCAAAATCTTCTTCACTGATAGTATTCATCCCGTTAGAGTAGGAAAGGAATTCTATTTCTAGAACTTCTGTTTGGAGGTTATCCATGAATCTGTGACAAAAATTTGATAAAGAACGAACAGGATAAACATACAATGATTATAAAGGTTATATGGAAATAATTTAATTACATGATGACCCAAAGCTTCATGAAGTTCTTTGTAAATGGGAAAGAAAGGAGCCCAAGTTCTGACAGCTTCACCACCTCTGACTGTGGCATCTGGGACAAGTTACTTAGCTTCTCAGGATTTTGGCTTCCTCATCTGTAAAACTGGGATAACAAAAGTGCCTCACAGAGTAGTGAAGGGACTTAAAGAAGTTAAATGTATTGTGTCGATCACACAGGAAACACTCCAAGTGTGCTTGCTATTGTTACTGTGATTAATTAAGACTAAGAAATTGGCAGCACACTTTCTTCTGAATATCTAGGAGATAACTAGGTAACTAGTTATTGTTCAGTAACTTCCTGTTATGATTATTAGTCTAAGCACTGCATGTAAGTACTGACAGACATGAGCATTTGTTGTTGAGACAGTGGGCAGTATCTGCAGTGAAGATGAAAGCAGCAAAGAGGTGATGAGCATCACTGCGCTAGACCATTTGTGAAGCCCCTTCCAACTTCAGCATGCTACCATTTTTCAATACAAATGTAAACATTATGGAAGCCTCACCTATAAAAATCTTCAAAGTTCAGCTCAGCTTTTCCTTTCCTTCCAAAAAAGTGTACAAGAAGTGTAGTATCTGCTACTAAACATGTGATGTCATCAGCACGCTTTAAAAAATCACATATTGAAAGTTAGCTGCAATAAAATAATAGGGATACGATCTCTCAAAGAATTTTATTATCAACATATAAATATTAAGAACATAAACACAGTAACATTAGATGAACAGCACAAGGCTATAGAACCAAAAAGAAAACAAAACAAAATCCTTTGCTGTTGAGTCGATTCTGACTCGTAACAACCCTATAGGACAGAGTAGAACTGCCCCAGAGGGGTTCCAAGGCTGTAATCTTTAAGGAAGCAGGCTGCCATAGGTTTCTCTGCAGAGCAGCTGGTGGGTTCAAACTTCTGACCTTTCAGTTAGCAGCCGAGAACTAAACCATTGTGCCACCAGGGCTCCTCTACAAGGTTATATAAATACATGCAATTGCAGTTAAAATTAAGCTCAAATTTTGAAAGTAGAAATCTGAACGAAACTGATCTTTATCCTAACAAAAATTTAAAGATAACAGTAGAATTAAAAAAATGACTATATTTTAAAAAGTTTTTATCCTCAAATTATGCATGTAGGATATCTATACTTTAAATTACTTACAATAGTTAAAATTCTTTAGTCATCATCTAAATATTCTATTTTTATTTAAGTAATTTAGTTTGGATTTTCCTAATCAACCTGAAAATCCATTTTTTAAAGGATGTCCAAAAGAGGTAAATTCTTTGGATGTACTGAATGTTGTGGGGCTGAGAACAGGGTAGCCTCAGGCTTCACAAAGCAGCTTCCTTTAACCATGACATTTTCCTGCTGAATTCCATAATTACGGTATTTCAAACAGAACATCGTCTATTTAGGAGGAGAAACTATAATAACAGTATTACCTTGAAATATACATCATCTATAATTCTTTCAAAGAAAATTCTTACATAATTTTTTGAATGGATACGAAATTACTCCAGGAGATTTTTCCTTCCCTACTCAAACTGATCAGCTAAGTTTCAACAAGTGTTTTTAAAACAGCCTTATTATAGTTCCTATGAAGTTTTAATGGCCTCAGAAAATCCTTCTTGCCTTTAAAGTAGTTTTATAGGTGTTCTTTTTTCCCTCCTCCCTCCTCCCTCTCCTCCTCTCCCCTCCCCGCCTCTTCCTTCCTTTTTGATTTAACCATTAACTCATACCCATTTTATAAACTCAGGTACAAAAATCGCAAAATTCAAATGATTTTAATTCTCTTATATATCATCCTGGGAAATGTTAAGAAAAATAAAAGGTTAAATATTACTATCATTTTCTATATCAAAAAATAGCTGCAAATGTCCATGTAAAGGTACACATTTAGAATGTATTAATTCTTAGCCAGGATCCTGACGGTACTCCATAGCAAACAGAAACAGAAAGAAATAACTTCTCTACAAAGGATCAGTCTTTTTTCTATGTTTCCTGACAAAAAGACTCATCCCGTACACCTTCCACAGACTAAAAATTTGATATCCATTGATTCTGAAAAGCCCTCTTCCCAAGCTTTCATGAAGACAGCTATTTCCTCCTTCATAACATTTCTGAAATCTTCATTTCCTCTCCCCCTAGACTAAACATTCTTCTTCTCTCCTGATGACTAGTATGGACTAATGGAGACTACATCTTCTGATTGGTCACTTTTCTTCCAACTTGCCCTCTTTTAATCCATTAAACTGTTTTTCTGAACAGCTATCTATCTGCTACTTTAAGTACTACGGTGTTGGTGAAGAATACTGAATATACTATGGACTGCCAAAAGAATGAACAAATCTGTCTTGGAAGAAGTGCAGCCAGAATGCTCCCTAGAAGCGAGGATGGCGAGATCTTGTCTCATGTACTTTGGACATGTTCTCAGGAGGGACCAGTCCCCGAAGAAGGACATCAGGCTTGGTAAAGTAGAGGGTCAGCAAAAAAGAGGAAGATCCTCAATGAGACGGATTGACACGGGGGCTGCAATGACAGGATCAAGCGTAAGAGCGATTGTGAGGATGGCGCAGGACTGGGCAGTGTTTCGTTCTGTCGTACATACGGTTGCTACGAGTTGGAACCAACTGTGCCGCACCTAACAACAACAACTCAAAACTCCAGGATGTAGGCATCTATAGCTTACATTATCTAAAACGGAATTTAAGGAATTTAGTTTGGATTTCCCTAATCTAATCAATTACGAGACCTGGGCTCACCAACTTTTCTTGGGCTTCAGTTTCCTTGACTGCAAAATGGGAATGATCATATTTATAACAATAATACTTCTTAAAAAAAACAATGAAATCCGATGTTTATTGACACTTTTTTGTGATTTAATTTCATCACGTTTAGGCAGTTTTTTATCGTGAGACAGCGAAGTCAGCAGGGGGAGAAAGGATCCAGGAAAGCATTCCTAAGTGGAGCGTTAGAGTAGAGGCTCCAGCCGGTCAAAAGTCCAGGGTATCTGTCTGGAAGTTAGAGGAATGGGGGAAAAAAGAAGGGACAAAGAGGGTAAGAAAAGGAGGAAAAGCTGCTTCCTTCATAAACAAGCAGGAGCGTGGTGAGCAGGTAAGATGGTGAGTTCATGCGTCAGGTTGCTGGCTTTGACTCCTGACTCTTTTTCTTACTAGCTATGCGACCGTGGGGACGTTAACCTTTCTAGGATATTACTGTTATCCTCAGGAATAATAACAGCCCATACCCTGAAAGACTGTTGTAAGGATTAAACGACAGATGTAACTATTGTGCATGGTGGCAGGCGTACTGTAAATGCTCCATAAATTTTAGCTATTTAGTTTTGCTAAATATATTTCAAGAAGCCGAAAAAGAACAAGACAGAAAATATAATCATGTGCAGTCTTTGTGGAAGAAAAAACATTTTTATGTGGTACATTCTTATTTCTTTCTCATAGTTGAAACTACACATAAGATATTACGCAGATTTGAAAAAAATGCCTTAAAATGAGAAAGTCCGGGAACAGCAGAAGTCAGTGAACTCAGAGAACCTAACTGCTGGATGTTTTTCTCCAGGGCTGCGATGTCCTTTACCTTAAGACATAAAATACTGAAATGTAGATGGCTTTGTTTTACACAGCTTTTAAGTCATGACCTCATTCAGGCTGTTTTTCTCATGCCCACTGAGCAACAAGACCTTCACTGACAGTCTTTCATCATTGAAATCTTATTAGATTTAGGTTGCATTTATCCAGATAATCCAGATCCACAGAGGCATAAGAAACAATGTGACATTAGGGGGAAAATAATTAGAAAATGGAAATGGTGAAAATATTTTTTTTTCCCATTCTATTGAAACAGAGTCCTTCTCAGAGTCTCTGAAAACTGTACCAGTGTCCTTGGTATCCTACAGTGTTCTATAACTTAAATCACAGAAGGGGTGAGACAAAAACAGACACTTCATTCCTTTGATTCTTGTGCTCTTTGTTAAAATAAAATGAATTCCGGTGTTTCCATAACAAAGCGAGAAAACAAGGCCACAAAAGAACTCCATGGGCCATATACATGAAGGCCATTATCTAACTTGTTTTGATTAAAAATTACTTAGATTGATGTCATAAAAATGACACAAACAATAAATTTGCATTGAATACAAATATATCAAACTACTAAAGAGTTTTAAGATATCCTTTTAACATTTTTATTGATTAAAATGTAATAATCTCAGCAAGCTCTATCCAAGTCTAGAGGAAATCTTCAAACCTGTCAACAAAGTTTTAGAATACTCTATTGAAACTTATAAAGGAGACTAGAGTTTAGAGCAAATAAGAAAAAATTTTAAATTTCATCTGTAGAACTTAAAACAGTTTTTATAATTCTGGTACTGACAGACTATATTCAACAGATGCATTATAGGCACATCATATTCTACACCAAGAATTTATTATATATGATTTTGATTAGAAAGTGGTTTCAGCTGTGGTGTATTCTAATTTTCATTATAACTTGGACTTACTATACTTGGGGGAAAAAAATCTATGGTTAGAAACAGCTCTGGAATAAGAATATGAGAGGCTAATGTCCAATTTACCTAAAATATTTAAAGAGAACTACTTGATCTCAATAATGACATTTTAAATAGATAACAAAGAAATATAAATACAAATTTATTTCCAAGTCTTCTTTCCAAACCAATGTGAATCCTGAACTATTGATACTATAAACAGTTTGGCATTATCTTGGTATCAGTAGTAAATTATAAGGAATTACAATTGGTTGTAATTTAACTGTAGTTAATTCTCAATTATCCGCTCTAATGTGGGAGGGTGGTAACAGAGACAATCCCCGAGTAATTATTTCAGACTGGAAAGTACTATAAGTTTTGTTTTCTTCTCCTCTTCCTCGTTTCCATCAGATTTACTTTCATAATTATGTTTGAGTCAATTTATTAATCTAACAGTTTGTGATCATAGTGTGAACTGATATAGCAGCTACTGGTATGCTGGTAACCTGGATCTCTGAAGGAAACAAAAAGCCTGTTTTGTAGTGTTTGCCAATTTCTGTGGTATTAATACTCCCATTATGACCACTTTCAAGCTGCCAAGGGGTGGCCACAGAATGCTGAGTTGGAAAGAGATGTGTAGAGCTGGATTTTGGAGGCTGGTAAAAGCCAGCTCCAGCACACCGCTGATAGAGCCACAAACATTTTCAGAAAATTTTATACAAACCATATAATCTTCTGACTACATAAGAGCTGACTGGTCATCTGGTTTTAAACCTCCCGAGATTTAAACTCAATTCAGCATCTAACAGCAGTCTTTGTCTAGCTGTGAGATCCTCTAGCAGAGTTAGATGGATTCAGAGATGGGTTGGAGGTAGAGAGGTGGATATTCTAGTATGGGGAGAGACAGCAGTGACATGACTATTATCTGAAGCCTGGAAACTAGGCTATAGTGAGTGGGCTTGGAGGGACTGTAAGGGGCAGTGTCCCTGTCTGCTCTTATGTGCCGAAAGGAAAGAGTAAAATATCAAGCAGTTCTAAAATATCTATAAATGGAACACATACTGCCATTTTATACCTAAAAATAGCCTAAATTTAAAGGTAACTGTTTGTCACAATGATACTATATTTATGTATCATGGACAGATAAGACACATGGCAAAATGTTTTATTTATTGGTTTTGGGATTTTAAAACTGAGCATAAGTAACAAAAATAAACATTTCCAAGTGTTTGTTCTAGTCCAGAGATAAAAACTAAGGAACGCTCTCCATAGGAATAATAGAAGTCATACCTGATTCCACATGACTTCTCTAGATATTTTTAGGTATAATTTTCTTTCAAGTCAAACTTAAAGTTTAGAAAACAGAAATGAAAGCTAATTTTTAAAGAGAAAAAGATAATAAAAAAATCTCTCTCTTAGAATTCACTGAAAAGTCCTTTGTGGTAAGACTAAGAGCCATCTCTAAGAAGCTTATAAAGCTAGGACTCCATATTGACAGTGGTGTCACTGGGGTGGGCTGGCGCAGCAGTCTTCCTCCGGCGCACTGATAAGATACACGTCTGTACGGAGTTCAAAAATAATAATAAAACTGAATAAAAGCCAGCCTGCTTTTTATTTTTCACCATGTACTGACAGTCTTACACAAGGTCAACGTGAAATGTTCCCCCTGCCTTGATGGACCGCTCCTACTGCATGTCTCCACCCCCGACACCACCTGGGGAAGCACCCACTATTAATACTAGGAAATTTAATTGCTTAAGTCTATCATAACTAACAAGAGTCAACTACCCTTTACCAAGTTAAACATTTCGGCATTTCATGGGACATTGTAAACTGCAAGGCTGAAAAACTCAGTGGAACTATAAAATATTATTTTCCAATTTCCAGAAAGTGATCCTCAAGTAAAAAATAACAGTATTTTCTTTTAGTTAAGTTGGAAAGCCATGTTTTATACAACAAACAAGTTAATTTAAAATAAGATTATTTTAGGTAACCTTACTGCCCGTGACAGTACAGTTGACATATTCAAATACACAGCTTATATACAGTCATCATCGCTTTACTGGAGAACACAGAAGATATAAAATACATTTCTAGTTTTACCACTGTGAATTAAAATGAAATGAAGACTAGATTAACAAAACAGAAAAGAGTACCAGGACCTGGCTGGAGTGTGATTATACCTCTGCAAGGTCTGAAAAGAGCGCTTGGCTTGTGTTACGTCTCAGCGTGTCCCAATAGCTTCTGGAGACAAGTTCCTCTCCGTCTGTTTTGAGTACCTGTAGAAGTTGTAAGAGGCACGACTGAAGTCTAAAGAAGAGTCACAAAGAATGATAATTTATACACTTTAAATCTCTTCTAACCAACCTTTGAAAAGAAAAGAAAACGAAACACATTCGCTTACCTTTTTCTGTTTTCTGCTGCACACAACAGTATTATATTACGCTGCTGGTAAACCCGTGGTACTTTCAAAGGTGGAATGGTATATAACCACTATTTCTAAGTACAACCAAGCTTTGGCAAAAAGAATCAAATTCTCCCCCTCATGTCCTTATACTGAACGGTGCATAACTTCTAAGAAAGTGTAAAATACAAATTTTATTCACACCTTCTGTGAAGTAAATTCATTTGAAAAAGATTTAGGTAATCTTATGGTGAATTATAAAAATCATGCCTATTTTAACACTGAATTACTGTTGGCTGTTATACAGTTTGTGAGTCATTGCATTAAAGGATGAAAATGGCCATGACCATACTTTAGAAAACAAAGTTTAAATTAATTCAAAACTTGTCAAAAAGAAATATATCTGTTTAAGTCAAACCACTCAAAGCTACTCAGGGATTTGGCAGTTGTGTCTATTATAAATGGATAAGACACTTTCTGATCTTTACTACAAGGATAGAACTCTAGATTCTATCTCCGTCTCGGCTAATCTGAAGAAGGAGACACCGAGATTAAAAAGTGTAGTCTCAACTTCATATGACAATGTAGAAATGCAAGCCTAATTTAGATTTCCATAGAGAAAAATAATCAAATGAGTTTCTGAAAGGATGTATCAGAGAAGATTTCACAGGTCTCAGGTTCAGTGGTATTGGGGTTAGCATGAGAAGAAAATGCTACAGGGTGGACTCCGGAGTGAGTGTCTGAGGATGAGAAGACTTTTTTTTTTTGTCTTGGTCTTTAAAAGTCTGGTGCCACTAATAAAATTATGGTTCATCTAGGAATTATTTCAAAGATCTCCTAAATTGTAATCCATTGTTATTAACTGCTCATATATTAATAAAATCTTTAAAAATGTTAATAATAGAGTATTCTTTAGCAGGAACCACTAAGATAACACAGTTATAAGTATGATCATAAATGTTTGTGTAACTACATGAATGAAAATCTGCCCATCACCCCTTTAGTAACTAAATAAGCTTTAACTAGGTCATAAGTTAAATAAGCAAAATTAGCTGAATATAGAACTGACAAAATTAATTTTTTTTTTTAAATATAGGCATAGTATACTTCAATAAATACTAGATGGACTGAATGGTTATTCTGGAAATATTACCTAAATACTTTGAACTAGATGCATTTTTTTATTGTCACTTAGAAGGTTAATACATGATCAAGAAAGGGATGGCTAAACATCAAACTGGAAAATAAGGTTTAATGTGCACTGTTATTAAGAAGATAACAGGAATGATTTCCTTTGTGAATTACTGCCTCTTCTCTTCTTCCAAACACTGGTCACCATCTCACACACACATTGATGAAACCAGAAAATATTTATAACACATTAAGTCAATATAGTTTGATAAAATTAGTTTAACAAGCTATACTGACATGGATATCTATATAGAAAAGATACATTTCTGAGCACAGAAAAAAGTGAAGTAAAAATACTAAAATATAATATTTCTGAATAGTGAGATTAGGGTTTTCAATTTTCTTCCTTTTGCTTTTCCTTTATTTTACAATTTATCTATCTCTCCTGATAGGATATGCAACTTTTTAAATAAAAAAAAAAATCTTACTTAGAACAAAACAGCTTAAATAGTCCCTGGTGCAGAAAGCTTTTTCCACCTATAATTTAGCAACAAAGAATAAATTATGAGAGAATATATTACTGAATTGCTGCAACTGGCTATATTTGTTTTTATCATATCACACCTTGTAAAGTATAAAGTTTTTGAGGGCAGGGACAACATCTCCACAGTAATTACTGCCATGCCCTATACCAAGTAAGTATATGATGTATAGTCACTAAGGAAAAAAGCTAATCTATCAGAGATTTGCCTGGCACATTCATTGATTCCCATATATATGTCTATTCTGGAGCAAGTATTTAATTTTTTAATCAATGACATGGGTGATAAAATTAAGAATAAAATTTTAAAACACGCAGAACTAGCGGGAAGCTTTGACATCGAAAAATATAATAAGAGTATTTAAAATAAGCCTAAAGTAGCCATGAAAATCAGAAAGAAAGAAAGAAGGGACGGAGGAACAGAAGAACAAAGGGAAGAAAGACAAAAGGAAGGAAGGAAGAGGAAAGGAACAGAGAACAGAAGAAAGATGAGAACACATCACCGTGGCAGGCAAAATGGGCTCCCTAAAGACGTCCATGTCCACACAGGCAAACTCCCTATATAAAGCTGGGGTCTGAGAAGGGTTATACTCAGAGATTAGGCTAACTAGGAACCAGCAAGCAAAGTAAATGGTTTTTACTACTGTTGTTTTTAGCTGTCACTGAATTGGTCCCGGCTCATGATGACTCCACGTACAGCAGAAGGAAACACTGCCTGGTCCTGAACCATCCCAACGACTGGCTGCAGACAGGGCTGCTGAAATCCATAGGGCTTTCACTGGCTTAGTTTTGGCAGTAAATTGTCAGGCCTTTCTTCCTAGTCTGTCTTGGTCTGGAAGCTCCACTGAAACCTGTTCAGCACAATAGCAACACGTGAACCTCCACTGACACACGGTGGTATCGAAAAACACAGAAACCCAAACAAACAAGCAAAGAAAACTGTAACTTTAAATTCTATGTTACTATGGCAACTTTGGCCCTAAAAACTGTAACCTCAGAATTATAATTTAAAGATACCGCAAACTGCAGTTATCCACAGGTGTATCACAGGGAAAACAAGAACAAACAAACCACAAATACCCCTGCAAGAAAACACACGTAACCTAGTCCTTAAAGAATCCCCACAAAGACATTCTAAAAAATATATGATCACAATACAAAATTACCGAATACAAAAGCACATAAGCCACCACGGGTGAGAGCCGGCAGAAACAACAAACAGTAGAACCAGGCCCACAGATTTCAGTTACTGCAGTGAGTAGGCATGGAATACAAAGTAAGTTTAAATAGTTTAAAGAATATGGAAGCTGATTTTAAAAGGATTATTGAGAAAAAAGAGACTACCAAAAATGATTAGGCTGGTTAGAAAAAGAAACAACTTCTAGAAGTGAAAAATGTAACCACTGAAATTTAATATCAGATTACGTATAGCTAGAGAGAAAACAAATACAGAAGATAATTATGGAAGATAAGCATGAAGAAATTATACAGAATGCAGCATGGGGAGACAAAAACATGACAAATTATTAACCTATATTGTTAATTTTATTAATACGAATTGATATTATCAGTATAATATCAATAATTAATTAAAATATGGCAAATTATTATTAAAGAGAGGTTAAAAGACATGGAAGAGAGCAATAATATCTAATGAAAGCTCCAAAAAGTAATAATAGAGAAAATGGTAAAGAGACAATATTCAGTGAGCTAATGACAGTGAATTTTCAAGAATTAATGAAAGAAAATGATCTTTATATATGAAAAGCCCAGTTAAGTCCTATGTCAGAAGGTAGAATGAAGAGATACACTGTAGTAAAATTATAGTATACCAAAGGCAAAGAAGATCTTAAAACAGCCGGGAAGAAAACAGATCACCTACAAATAAATAATAATTAGACTGAGACCTGACTTTCCACCAATTTTAACAGCAGAAGCCAGCGGAATATCATGTTAAGAATAAATGTCAGTCTAAACTTACATACCCAGTAAAATTCTTTCAAAATCAAGGGAAAAAGAAAGACATTTTCAGAGAGGTGTTTTTTTCTTTTTCTTTTTGTAATTCACCAGAAAACTCTTTCACTCAGGTATATACTTTATGGGTATAAGGTCTAGGAAGGGATGAGATTAAACAGTGAATAGTAAAAATAGGCAATGTTAAACCAACAGTGATGGTATACATTTAAAAAGACTAATTTGTGGGATTAAAAAGGAGACAGAGACAAAAAGTTTGCTAAAAACTGTGAAAGACCTTGAAGCATTTTAAGATCGTTCATGTTTGAGGAAGAGAACAAAGATACTAACTTAAGAACTCTATTACTTTAAGTGTGCTTATTAAAATTTAAAAATAACCACACAAAGAATAGAAATATAGAGAATGTTTCTGAACTATTAGAGGGGAAAATAAATTTCAGTTAATTCAGTAGAAAGTAAGAAAAAAGAACACTGGATAGAATGAGATGATTAAAATAAATCCAAATAAATCAGTAGTCACAATAATGTAAATTGACTGAATTGTCTAGTTAAAAAGTCAAGATTGTCAACCTGCATGAAAAAAAAACAAGCAAACAAATGAAATATGCTATTTCAAAAGATACTCCTAAAATATAAGGAAAGAGAAAGGTTGAAAAAGACATACCAGGCTTCTCTTAATGACAGCTTTCTCTTAATGAAGTTAGCACCAACCTTTCAACTAAAGAAGCTGGACAAAACATGAAATTGACGTATCTTCTTAAAAGTGCCTTAAAGACACCATTTGCCTTGGGCCGTGTGTTGACATTCGCAATGATGGAAAAAGCAACGGTGACAAAACTAGTGTGGTGTAGCCTCTGCAGAAATCAAGGCAGTGACACCAAAGACCAAAAAGTCATCACATTCTTCAGTAGTCATTCCATATTTCTGTGCTACACACTCGCAGTAAAAAAAAAAAAAAAAAGTTCCATTTAAGAATGTACTTGCTGAAGAGTCCAATAATTTTGTTAAATTGATCTTTTAACATGTATCTTTACTATCTGATGTGATGGAATGAGAAGTATGTGTAAAGCCCTCTGTTGCACACCAAAGTACTGTGGTTGTGTCAAGGGAAAAAAAAACGTGATGGTTTGTGTTGTAAGCTCAACTAGCCGTGATTTTCATGAACGCCTGTTTTTACATTAGAGAACAACTGGCAGACAAACTATCGTTAGTCAGACCTCGTTAGCTAGCAGACGGTTTACTGAAAATGAACCAACGAGCTCGTCACTTCAAGGGAAACAACCGACAGTATCTGTCACCAAAGCAACGTATTTCAACAGCTTGAATACAGAAGCAGATACGAGAATGCAGCTGTCTGTTAAACGAGACATTAAGGTAATTTACAAAGAATTAAAACACCAGTATTCTTCTCATTACATTATTGAAAATAAAAAGTGTTTATGTTAACATGTAATGAGTTTATTTCTTACTATTTTAAAATGGACTAATAAATATTTTAAATTTTCTAAGTTTTAATTTCTAATATGCTAGATACAGATAGATGTAGCCCACATGAACAAAAGCTCTTTGAGGTTCTCATAATTTTTTCACTACACAAAGGGGTCCTGAGATGACGAAGTTTGAGAACTACTGCTTCCAGCAACGCAAATCCATGAACAAAGCACTACAGACAACAATGCACATGAAACGGACAATCATGACGTTTAGCCAAAGCAGCAAGACACACAAAAATCTGCACAACGTGATCCCATCTACATGCACTATGAGATGGGCGAAACTAAACCATACCGTTTAGGATATGCATAAGTAGGTGGTAAAGCTACAAAGCAAAGCGAGGAAGTGATTTCCATAAAGGTCATGATTGGGGTTCTCTTTTGAGGGAAAGAAGGGCTGCGACTGGGGGGCATATTAAGGGGTCTCTTGGGACATGGCAATGCTGCATTTCTTGACTTATACAGTGGTTAAACTTTTATTATTTTTCATTTTATTTTATATTTACATTTTATTTGCAGTACATTTCTGAATTAAAAAAATCAAGGAGAGCATCATCACTAGAGGAAAAAGTAGAAAATAAACAAAAAGTTTGTTGTTGTTGTTAGCTGCCATGGAGTTGATTCTGACTCATGGTGACCCCATGTGTGCAGAGTAGAACCGCTCCCTAGGGTTTTCAAGGCTGGGACCTTTTGGGAACAGACTGCCAGGCCTATCTTCCAAGGCACCTCTTGGTGGGTTTGAACCGCCAACCTTCTGGCTAGTAGTTGAGTGCTTAAACCATTTGCACCCACCCATGGACTCCTAAACAAAAAACATAAAGCAATAAAAAATACAAATAAAAGAAAAGTGGTATATTTATGCTGTTAACAACTAAAATAGATTTTAAGGTAAAAATATTTCTAGAGGTCTGAGGACAGCATGTAACTATAGAAGATTCAATTCACTAAAAAGATACAACTAATCTATTATTCTAACCTAGGCAATAACATTTGCTTCAAAATACATAAAGCAAAAACTGACAGAGTTACAAGTAGAAATGAACAAATCTACCATCATAATGTGTAATTTAAAATACTAATTGATAGATCAAGTCAACCAAAAACAATTAGTAATGACAGATAAGATTCAGAACCCATGATTAACATGCTCGGTCTAATACATAAAACAGAACCCTGTATCTCAAATTGGAGAAAAATACACATTCTTTTCAAACACAGATCATTTATGAATACTGACATTGTTTTAGCCCATAAAACAAGTCTCAACACGTTTCAAAGAACTGGTATAAAAATTGATACATCTTCTGACTACAATGGCATTAACGTCATTAAGAATATTTTAAAAGTAAAAAAATAACACAAGGCAGGCCAAAGTCATATGTAACTGACTTCTGTATTATTGTTTTTAATTTTTATATTTCTTTTCTTTACTGTGGGCAGATAATAGGAGTTGGCAGCATGTGGAATATGAAAAGCATCAGGTTGTTTGAAATAAAGAAGGCTATAAAGGTAACATCTACCTTCATGAATACAAAGGAGTTCTACTGAATCTTCAAAGAGAGGGTTACCCTATAGCAAGAAATAATCTGATTGAATATATGCAGGCAGAACTTACTTAAAGGTGATTGAATTTTGGACAGGCCACTAGAGTGGTCACAGAATCTCCACTTCTACAGTAAAAGCCAGGAGGGCCAACTGCCTTTCCTGAATGAACTTCATCCTAAAGATAAGAACTAGCTATTATAAATCTCTTAGGTTCCAGATAGCTCTGTGATCGGCACTCAGATTAGATACTTTATCCCTCCAGTTGATCTACAATCCCAGAAACCAGCAGAAAATTGCCAGTTAATTCATAAAATTATAGTAATCTATGAATTCAGTACTTACATCAATGATATCTCATTTAAACTTTCAGGCTGTCTGAATTGTTTCCCCCTAATTTTAAATGAATTTTCATTGCTTGTTTACATGTTCTGAAAATAATCTTCCCTTTCTGAACAAAACTGTTTTTATTATAGGAAAAAAATCAGATTATATACCCAACTAACCTCACATAGCCCCTTCAGGACTATGAAGATAAAAATGACATCAAGTTAGATCACTTTAAAATATGCATTTCACATTCTCAGCTGGACAAAAAGCTGTCCTCAGTAAAATAAATAATAATTACTACAATAAAATACAAAATCCTAAAATTACTTTCCCATTAAACAAGCAAGCAAAATATAAATAAAACACACAACTTAAGTTTGCTTTTCAATATTATTCTCTTAATGGCTGAGTGACTGCAATTTGTTTATCTAGCTTTCACTAAAGCTGTATTAGGATTTATTTCCTCTTAACAATATCACTCTGAGATGTACTTTTTAGAAACTACATAATTATCCTACATAAAAACTAGGAGTTTAAAGGAAAAGTAAGTATCGCCATGATAGGAAAATGGTTCCCGCAATGACAGATTAGAAAAATAAGCCATAAAGTCTTAAGTTATTAATATTTATTAAGTTTCACCGGATATATTGCATTAAAATCTGTGAGATTTTCATTTTATATATTCTTACAAATTTTTTGAAATTATTAACAGAGGAATCCTTTAAAAACTTGAAGAAAATGATAGACTTTATTTAATGGAAAACAGTAGTGAATTCTATAGAAATATTTTTAAAGTATCTTGTTAGGAATCAAAAAAATTAGTCAATGATAAGGGTCCTATGGACTTGGCTTGTTTCCCACCCCCAGACATCTGCCTAGGTTTATTCCTGGAGCCGAGACATACTGGGTTTACTTCATTCTGATTCAGCCTCCTGTGTATATGTTTTAATCTAAGTCAGAGTTAGCCTTCAGTGTTTGGAATTTCAATGAACTATCCAATACAGGGTGCAACACACCTGCTTTTAGCATTGTGCACTACACTTGGAATACAGTCAGCAGCATAATACTGAGTCAGCCCCCCTCAGTTCAAGGCCTTCTCAGGTGGAATCTTTTTTACAATTTGAGGGATCCTTCCAAAGGAGTTACGGCTCCTTCGGGAACTTTAATGAACTGTGCGTGTGTATGTTCAACACAAGCTATGGTCCATTCTTAGTCATTTAGTAGCTGGCAAATCAACAAGTTCTGATATTCTCAGGAGACCAGGAAAAAAAGATAGCTCAGCATAAGAAGAACAGGATATTTCCAAGTTCATTTACAGGAACTCCTAACTTTTTCAGAAACAAGGAGAGTCTGAAAATCATAGTCCTCTTTAAAGATACACTATGATATACTGATATATTTAACATGATTGATAAAGTACCAACTTATACTAGATTCTTGTATCGATCATCAATAGTAAGCAGGCAACCAAAGTTTCAGAACAAATTTGGAAGAAATACTGAAAACCAGGAAAAGTCCATCCATTAATATACCTCTTTCTTAGAACTGAGAAAAGACTGTGTATCAGATGGATAGATCTAGTTCTTAAAATACCTGTGTACTGCAGGCTCACAGCCTGAGAATCTGCTCCATACTCTGTATATATCTCTTCGAATACAGCCAAAAAGTATAAAATTTCAATTATTCTACCAGAATTTTTAGTTGTTGTTGTTGTTCATGGACCTTTCCCTTGTTTTAACCGAAAGTGAAAGATACACGACTGTACTGTATGTTTTAGGCTTCCGATAATCTGAGAAGGAAAAGTAAGATTCTGGTTTCATTGCATCTTACCGTAGTCAGTAAATTCCTCAACAGTATAAATAGCAGTTGTAACTTCACATAAATAACATTATCAAGTATAACAGGTGAGGGCTATATACATAAAGAACATGTAAAGGATTGTACATACACTATTAGCAGAAGAATGGGATCCATAAAGTTGAAGACGCTGACATAGAGCACAAAGGGCCAAATGAAGTGTCACATTTCAGAATGAACCCAAGTATAGCAAAAGAAAAAAAAGAAAAAGATGACAAAATAATCAATTAGGAAGGGCAAATCATTATGCTACCGTCTATGTAGAGCGCACACACAATATAAGTGCTATAAATGTTAAAGATGAGTAGCAAAGTTTTTACAATCTCATATAATTAAACATTCAATGAATTTGTGCTCATTTCAAACATTTTCATCGTAACCTTCTGGTAGAACTATTGCTTTGAGTAAAACATGTTCTCTTAAGTATGCAGTTCTATTTAGACCTGATTCAGCAATTCTCCACAGAGTAGGGGAAAATTTAGATGCAGCAGCACGGCCCAGTGGGAATGGTATGAGACCTGCACTGGGATCCTGGTTCTGCTCTCGATGTGCTACGACCTTACTCAAGTCACTTAGCCTCTCTGAGAAGGTTCTCTCATCTTGGAGGCAGGTGTGGTACTTACCTGAGAGAAGTGTAACGAGGACTAACGGGAAAAACATGTCTAAGGGATGGAGCACGGAGCATAGCACATAGTGAGCATCTCAAGGAAAGTTTTCTTCCTTTCCTTCTGAAGCGTAGTCACTTGTCATTTATGTAAATATCTTATTTAGTTTTGATTTAAATATTCAGCTTAAAGCAGAACTTTACGTTTCACCATTAGCTAGCCTTTTTGAGTGTCATCGTATCTCACATACTGTTAAACAGTGACGTGCTTTTACCTCCTTCAAACCCTGTAACAATCACGTGTGGTCATCACTACAGTTACCCCCGTTTACAAATGAAGAAACTGAGGTTCAGAGAGGTAAGGGTCTGGCAGTGAGTGGCAGGATAGGATTTGAACCTAGAAAACTTGTCCCTGAGCCTGTACTATACTGTCTCTCTAATGTCACCCGTGTATTTTCACTATAAGCTAAATTCAGTTGCTTCAAAAACATTCTGAGGAGATGCAGAACCACACTGTCATTTCCAGCAGCTTGACAACAGCACCCTAAATTCTACATAATCCTCTATAACTAGAGTAGTCTAAAATAAAACCTTGTCAGTTCAGATCCACGTTATTTAAAATGTGACTATTAACAATAAGTTACCACGAATTATCATTATTGTTAAACATAGTAACTAACATTTACAGTTGTAAGGAGCCCTGGTGGTACAGTGGTTAAGAACTCAGTCAGCGTTTGAGCCCACCAGCTGCTCCAGAACAGAAAGATGCAGCAGTCTGCTTCCGTAGAGACTACAGCCTTGGAAACCCTATGGGTCAGTTCTACCATATCCTTTAGGGTTGCTATGAGTCAGAATCAACTCAACGGCAATGGTTTGATATCGCTGTAGAGTGCTGTTTAGTTGGGAAGCTGTTTTAAGGAATAGTTCTGATAGCTAAATTATGTAAATGAGATTTCAGGAGGACTGTTTAAACTAAGATAAATACCTCTAAGTTACCTGTGAAGGTCAATGACTATTATGCACTCCTTTACTTATAAACAAGCTACATATTACTCATAAGTTATTATTGTCTATTCTTTAAAATAAGCTTCCTTCCTCCCTATATTAGCTAGGGAATGTTACAATGATCTATATACATATAAATTAAAACAACATAGGGTATGCTGGTCGGAGTGGATTAACCAGTAAGCAAGGTACGCACGGGCTTACATTGGCTTACTTATTCATCTGTAGTGCACCTGTTCAAAAACAGGTGAAATTATGCACTACAGATGAGTAAATGAGCACAAGGAAGCCCCTGGTATCTCACTTATTGGGTAATCTGTCCCTGACGCTGGTATAATTCAAATTTCATCATTCAGGTGGATCTTCCATAATTAATGCAAATTATGAGGTTTCACTATGTCGCTATTATGAAATATTTGCATTAATTTGATATTAAGTTTCCCTGAAGGTGGCTGCAGTGAAGCTCAGAGCCAAGTTTTATGCTGATGTTGCAGCTTTTCCGAGCGTGGGTTGTCTGTTATGTTTCCCTTGTCTCTCTCCCTTTGTTACTTGAGTGTTTTAGTAAATATTAATGATCAGAATATTATTGTATTTTTTACTGGAAGATCCATAAGTCATTTCTTGAAGTAGTTTAGATAAATAATTACATGTCTATCCACTGAAATACCATCTACTTTATCACTGAGGTCTGTTAAGAGATACATGAATGTAATTCAACCTCCTTAAATGACATTTTATGAGAATTCACCTACCCTGTCAATTATAATAGAGGCAATCTATCCAAATTAACTGCTTACTCTTTCACTACATTATCTACAGGAAATAAAATTTAAGAAAGCATTCAATTACCTAGTCTTATTTCCTAATATTCTAAAAAAACCTGCATTTATGGGGCTATTCATAGAGGATTTATTAACTACAATTTGAAAACCACAAGAACCTGAATTAAGTGGAGAACTAATCGTGCCTTTCTAACACTTGGCTAACATGACAAGCAGTTCTTTGAATGTTTAAGAGTGTTGTCCATAAGCTCGGTCAATTAACATGCTGGAGGGGAGTCAACACACACCGCTAGTTGTATCATAGTCAAACAGCCTATGAACTAATATGTAGTTCATAATTCCGATAATCTGCTTTTATTAAACTGAATAGAAACATACATTTCATCCATAGATTGGGTTTGAACATGGCACCCATCTGCTACAGATAATCCATGTTTTAAGAAACCTAATGCATATTCTTATAAGAATGAGACTAGTAAAAAAGGCTGCAATTCTCTAAAGTTAATTACTTGAATTCCATGTACAACAATTGAACTGCTGCACAGAAACACTGATTAGCAAATGGAACAATTAACATTTGCATGACAACAAAATTTACCGTGTTTCTGCTATCAAAGTACCAGTGGGTAAAAAAGCAGGTTTTGGAGCTGGCCAGACATGGGTTCAAATCCTGACTTTGCCATTTAATAGCTATGTAACTTTGGGCAAGATGCTCAACCACTTCAATTCTCAGTCTCCTTATGTATAATTACAGATAATAAGAGAACTGTCAGGTAAATTAACTGAGAAAATGCATGCAAAGCACCTAGGATAGTATCTGACAGTGTCTGGTATCACGTGGACCTGGCCAGTCATCAGGCTGAACTCATGGGACAAGCAAGAAGAAAGCGGATGGGAAGACGGAGGGGAGTTCAGGGGAAGACAAACACACCTCATCCCAGAAGAACCTGTAATATACATTTCTAAGCATGTAAGGAAACACATTCCTTGGGTTTGCTTTAAGATAAGTATCATCACATTACAATTAAATTCACTCGCATTTATAATTAAATCTTTGCAATTCACCTTTAAATTTTTACATGCACAATCATCTGCATTAATCTATTATATGATATACCCTTCAAATCTCACAGATAACAAAAATAGTGATGAATATAATTTAATGAATGATTATGGATATGGATGTTTAATACCAATATTTAATATAAATATTGATATCAATGCATATAAATGCTGAAGCACTTTCTCTATATAAGAACATTAGAACATTTTTAAGAAAGGGACAGCTCCAAAGTTACAAACTTTAATTACTGTTTTTCAACATAAATAAATCTTACCTAGAAAACCCTCCTGAAACTACCATATATTATCCTTACCAGCAGTGCACGTTTTTCTCCATCTCCTTTAGTTTCTCTCTTCTCATTTTTTTTCCTGAATATCTCTTGAAGCTGAAAAGGAAACCATTCAAGGGTCAAATATCTAACAAAAGTTTCTGGACACTTACTTACTACCCGGTGTGGGTTACATTCTATAAACAAAGAAAACAGTTAGCTTCATCCACTAAGAAAATTAAAATTACTACAGATATAATTTCTGATTGCCATTTTTTCCCCCCTGGGGAACAGAAAACACCACCTTTGTTACTAGCAAGCCATAGTTAAGTTCAATGTGTAAAATTCTAGCTTTATCACTAAAATATAAAGACATGGAGTCTGTGGCACACACATACAAAGAGCTGAAGCCTCCTGGGGCTAGAACTCAGGGACTCTGGGTCTAAATCCAGCTTCTGTCACACACTGGTTTTACGACTGTGGACAGGTCACTTAACCCTCGCTGGGCCCCAGTTTGCTCATATATGAAACGAGAATGGACTAGATGACCTCTAAGGTCTCCTTCAGGTAACTGAGCACGGTGGTGGTGGCGGCATGCTCTTTGCATGTATAATCCCTTGGGAAAGTTACTCTAATTATTTAAAGCTCATTTCCATATCTGGAAAATGGAGGAAATTGCCTGACCTAACAATAGCGTGTGGAGTAAATACTACAAGTCGTTACTTAGCACACTGCCTGTCACATAGTAAGTTCTCCATAAATGTTAGCTAATTATTATTGTAAATGGTATTATTTCATCTTTAAAATCCTATGATTTTTAGGGTTACACCCAGACATAGATAAGTTGGGCAGTAGATATTTCTGCATACATATCTACATGTACTGCAAACATATTCATGTATACAACAGAGCACACAGCGGGCACGGTCATGAAAATTTCTCAGCCATAACTAAACACCTCACGGGACTGAATCACTGGATTTGAGGGCTTAGGACCATAGCCTCAGGGGACATCCAGGACAACTGGCATAACATAGTCCATACAGACAGTGTTCTACATCCTACTTTGGTGAATAGAGAGTAGAGTCTTAAAAGCTTCTGAGCAGCCATCTAAGATACATCTGGTCTCTTCCTGTCTGGAGCAAAGAAGAGTGAAGAAAACCAAAGACTCAAGGAAACAATCAGTCCAAAAGGTCTAACAGAATACATGAACCACAGCCTCCACTAGCCTGGGGAAACCAGAAGAATTAGATAGTGCCTAGCTACCACTACTAACTGCTCTGACCAGAATCACAGTGGTAGGTCCTGGACAGAGTGGGAGAAAAATGTACAACAAAACTCAAATTCATAAATAAGACCTAATTTACCGATCTGACAGAACCTGGTGGAACCGCCGAAACTGTGGCCCTTAGACACCTTCAAACTTGGAATTGAATCCACCCCAGAGATCATATTACAGTCAAACAAAAGACAGGTCTATAAAGCGAACAATAACACCTAAGAGGAATGTGTACCTCGGAACAATCAACTATACGAGACCAAAACGCCACCAGAAGGCAGGTAGGGGCAGGAAACTGGGTGAATGGAAACAGGGACCCAGGGAGGAAGAAGGAGAGCGCTGGCACATCGAGGGGATTGCAATAATGTCACAAAACCACACTGCATAAATTGCTGAATGGCAGACTAATTTGTTCTGTAAACTTTCACCTAAATCACAATAAAGTGTTATTAAAAAAAGAAAAATCCTACGTGAGGAACATGCTTCTTAGTTCAATCAAATATATGAGACCAAATGGGCAACTCCTGCCCAAAAGCAAGACGAGAAGGTAGGAAGGGCTAGGAACGGGACAAATGGACACTGGGAACCTGGGGTGGAAAGGGGGAGCATGCTGTCATATTGTGGGGATTGTAATCAATGTCACAAAACAATATGTGTATAAATTTTTAATGAGAAACTAACTTCAATTGTAAACTTCCACCTGAAGCACAATAAAGAAATTACAATTAAACTGGAGTCCTGGTGGTGCAGTGGTTAAGAGCTACAGCTGCAAACCAAAAGGTCAGCAGTTCGAATCTACCAGCTGCCCCTTGGTAACCCTGAGGGGAAGTTCTAATCTGTCCTATAGGGTCACTACAAGTCGGAATTGACTCCACAGCAACGTTGTTTTTTTTTTTTTAAACAATTAAACGAAAAAAAAAAAAAAAAAAAGCTTGAAAGGTATCAAAATACAAAGTGTCTTTCTGATTTGGAAGTTTTCCAAAAAAAAAAAAAACCTATGATTTTACAAATATAAGCCTAATCCTACCTTAGAACAGTTTCCTGGGGGAGTTGGCTGTTACTGTCTTACAATGTGGACAGCCATCTCAACTCTTCATTTTCTATAGCAAGTATTGAAAGTCAAATAAAAGGTACTGCCTCCCAAGATACATAACAATATTTAGGAATACAGTAAAAAATACAAATAATTTAACACAAAAATTTATTCCACACTTTTTTTTAGTGAAAAGAGATTTTAGCAAAGGTTGCTTACAATTATTTTATAAGTAGGCAGAAGGATCATAGATTTTAGATATCTACAAAAAGCTTAGCCTAACTCCACCTCCTGTTTTCAACAACTCTGCCAGAAAACAAAACCAAACAAAAATCACCTAGGAGGCAGGAGCTGAGGAACTGAAAAAAATAAAACCACAGCTTTAAAGCAAGGGTAGCTTTTCCAAGTGTGTACAGTGAAAACAAACAGGAATTCTACATGAACGTTTTTTAACCCCCATATCCACAGACAGACAACATTCCGAAAGACACAGGCATCCTTTCCATGGACTGAGTTCCAAAACTTAAAGTCAGTGGGGTAGGACTTGGCAGGTGGCCAGAACAAGAGTATTCAAATTATTTAGATCACTAAACCCATTCTGGAAATTCCTAAAATACAATTGTGCACTGTTATAACAAAATCATATTAAGCTAAACTTGTCCGCTCCAGGATATCAGAAATGCATCTTCATCCGCTGCGATGACCCTGAACACCCCCACCAGCCAGCACTAGCTCCAAAGGCTCTGCTCAGGCTGCAGGCCGGCAAGTGCTGACTGGGTGCTAGATTACGCTTTCTGATAGATCCCAGTAATTGGACTGCCTGCTTCCCTTCGAATGGCTACTATTTAGCTTTTGATGAGGATTTTTACCTCTTCTCTTTCCTACCACAGGAAAAAAAAAGATTTCATAGTTTTTCTTCTGTGTTTCATCCTCCGAAGTAAACACAAAGCCCTCTAAGAGGTTTTCTAAGGGATGTTTTATGGCTTGTTACCAGCTGCTCCTTGGAAACTCTATGGGGCAGTTTGACTCTGTCCTATAGGGTCGCTATGAGTTGGAATCCATTCTGACAGCAACGGTTTTTACGGGTTACAAAGGAAAAATAGAAAATAAAATGGCTTGCTCATGTACTACCTCTCCCCTTTCTTCTCCCCCCACCCTCAACCCCTAACCAAATGTGAGAAGTTTAATTTCAAAATGAAGTGTGTCACAAGAGTCTCTTTCTTTTTACTAGGAGAGTATAAGTAAAGGCAGAGTTGAACATAAACGCTAGGAGTGGCTTTGCTTGCTATGGGATAAATTAATATAAATCTCTATTCCAGAGGAGAAACAGAATAGGTATTTTGCCGCAGAAGCAGATGTAAGGCACCTAGAGAGAGAAACTTGAGAATTCTGGAAGGAGGGAGAGAAGGGTGGTGATAGGACATGCGAGCCTCGGAGTCAAACCAGCACCAGAGCACCAAGGCTGGAGCCGCCACCGAGAAAGATGGCGGGATACACACCTAAGAATCATCTTACGCTTCCTGCTTTACAACAGTCCCTGGTCAAAGACAGAAGGGAACAGGAAAGTGGGGACAAGACAGGCATGTCAGGCAGACTGAGAGAGAAGAGGAGGAGAAGAATCGTAAATCCTATACTGAGAAGGAAGGCAAGTCTCTGGCCAAGAGCTGTGATTGGGTGCCTGATCTGATGAGCGCTGAATACTAACTGGGCGTTTATACCTCACGAGTGCCTGTTATCCCCACAACAGAAAACATCTGACACACTGCAAACTTCCAGACAGTGTGTAAACAATTAGAATCATCTTTACACATTGAATATAATTTATACTGTAATAATGTAAATATTATTCAAAGTACATAAGTATCAACTTCTTTGCGAATTTACAGTGAGCATACATTTTTCATTATTTTCCCTTTATAGTAGTATTCCCAATTAAAAAAATGAAATATAAATAATTTATTTAATTATTAATAAAATGCAGAATATCATATACATACCACCAAAAATTCCTTTTTATCCACCATTTCATTGCCATCTGTGTCAAACATGTTGAAAGCTATTCTAAAACCTGCATGTGGCTCTACCAGAAAAAAACACAAGTATTCATGAAATGGAAAAATGTACTTTCAAGCAAAAAGTCCATGTTAGTTGTAAACTGTTACTCATACTCTGTACAGAAATACTTTCTTTAGCCAAACTATTAGAAGTAACATGTTACAATTAGTTAACTATAATAAACTATACATAAGTATACATACCTTTCCTTCATGTTAGCACGCTTAGAAACAGAACTGATAATACCCTCTAAAAGCGCTTGTGTGAGACTCCTTGAATAACACCAACAGAAAAATCTGACTACCTTCCTTTAAAAATAAGTTTTTTTCTCTCTTATCCAAAGTCTGTCAGTATGTTTCAAAGGAAAATATCAATCGATCACATCTGAAATATTTCAGTATGTTCAACTACTCAGAGCACCGAAAAAAAAAGAAAAAAATGGTATGTCCAAGGACCATTCCCAATTTTAGGAAATATATAATAAAATGACCTATGAAAATAAATGTTAAGTAATATGAGACATTACAAAATGATTAACTTTTTGCAAAGACACTGTGGTCATAGTGTACAAACTGTTTCACAGTAATAAATTAAGAATCAGAGAAGCCAAGATGAGGTAAGACAGCCAATTTTAAGATAATTATTTCAAGCATAAATCCCAACATCAAGAAACAAGAAGTGAAAGGAAAATCTTTGACATTTTCCAAAAATAGTTCCTATTTTGGGGCTTAAACTTTAGAGGCTTCGAAAGGAGAACTATAAAAGAAGAAGCCTGAATAAGTAATTCTCAGCTCTCCCAAATATAAGTAACAACCGCTTTTCTGAGAAAGACAGACGTTCACATCCTATGAACTGCTTCAGTTTTATGAACTGAAGGTTCAGGCCTTTCCGCTTTTTACTTCTAAAGCATAAAGAAGAAAACTTGGATAGAAGAAAACTTGAAAGCGTCCTCCAAAGAGCTTCTCAGTCTGCATGCCTCTCTCAAAACATCTGACCTTTTCCTTCGAGAGGACTGGCAATAAGTTTAAAAAGGGACCTCCCACAGATACACCTGCCATTGCCTGCCGTGCAATCTTGAATGTGGCAAAGGAGAAGCACACAGCCCTGGTTTTTTAACCAGTAATAGCTGCCTCTGAAAAGAAGAGAAATGCAAACGAGTCCTTTACCAAAGCTCATTTCTTGCATGTATTTTAGGAATCTAAACTTATTTTGACTACTATTTCATTAAAGAAAGGAAAACAAAACAAAACAAAACCAGTTACACCACCTCTGATAACCCAGTTTTAAACTTTAAAAAGATCTTGAAAATACAGACAGAAAGGAAGTCGTTACTAGCACTGTTTGCAGGTTAAAATGATAAAAGGTAAAGATGAGATACCTCGAGACAGGTAACACGGATTAATCAATGGTTATGCAGTCCACTTCCTACCAGCCCTCTTTTCATATACTCCTTGGCTCTAACCTAGACAACATCCCATCATTTTTCAATTAAATTCCCTACAAGTATCTAAATATGGGTCCTGAACTCCAGAAGAAGTTCCATAGACCCCAAAGATTTCCACCTTTCCATAGCAAGCAAAAGCCACTGTATGTGTTTTTCCTACAGTCTTAACGCACACCCTCTCCCATCTCAACAACTGGCTTCCTAAACAATGTTCTTATTTTGCCTATCACTGTGCTGGTTTCGGTACTTGTATCTACTAATTTTGCATCCAAAATGGTTCTAGTTAACCAGGTAACTTTTCAACAAGTCTCTGAGACTCCATGGCACCTGCTCCTCTAATTCTTACGGAGTGTCCATCATGGACTGGACCTGCATCACCATTATAGCTTTCCAGTCTAGAACAACTTCAAGTAACCCAATTACTAACTGCACAGTACTAGTACTTGTACACTACTTGGAACCCACCCCTTAGGATTTATCTTACATTAAAACAAGGATTGATACATGATGTAAAATTTAACAATTTAAGAGAATTTCATACCACAAGCCACAATATTATTTATGTTTTTGACTCCTGACAGTGCTACGCTTAGCATTTTTCTGTGTCATGTGGATGTGAATCTTGCAAAACAGCATGGCTATGTCTAAGGTAATTTTCAACAGAGAATCAAAGAAAGATTTGTTTTCTAAGACTCTGATTAAATATGAAAACTGCATACACAAAGAGATTTAATGAGTATACTTACTTGTTAAAATACATAAAAGAAAAAGATATTCTGTGTATGAAATCACACCTAGAAGAAAAATAATATCTGTTATGCTACATGTAAAATACTACTTTATCTTCATATTTATCAAAGTAAAATATTATTCTCACAATAGCAATGAAGAATAGAATAACTTGAGATTTTAAAGCAGATGCTAAATATTGTTTTAAATGGGATTAAATTATTACAAAATCATAATAAAACAAGCAACAAAATTAATCGTCCATCATGTCTCTGTAGAAATCTATACAAAATCTTATTATTGCTCACAGATATTTGCAAAAAAAAGGCAAATTATAATGTTTACTTAGAGAAACTTGTTGCTAGTTTTTAATATATAAATATATCATAAAATAAAAAAGTTGGAGATAATTACCATTGTGAAGTGTTCCATAGTTAACACTTCTCTCCTTTCAAATTTTCATTTATTATCCTTGACAAACCTAATGCTTCTATTAAATGGACTCCTCTAAGAAGTTTTTATTTTAATTAAATGGCGCTGTAACCCCATAATTACAAACTTTAAAAGGAATTTGTGTGTAGTAAATAAAAACACACATTCTGTTTCCAGAATTCTTGCTTTTGGACTACAACAACAAAACCCAGAATTAATGGCTTAATTGACCTGAGTGGATAGTAAGAAAATCAAAATCAAGAACAAGCCTGTAACACTTATCTGGATATCAGATAGTCCTGATGTTTGGTAAAAGGGTATAAACACCCTTAAATAATCAGATCGTGAACCTTAAAACTCCATTTGAGCTGATGTTCTCTGAGGCTACCTCTTTGTTACAGAACAAAGAGAAGAGGAACCCGTCAGGCGGTCTGTCAGAAGACATGAACGGAACTGGCGAGGAGGCCCTGAAAGCATTCCCTTCTTTTGTTTATACTAGAATATTGTGACCTATAGACAGATAGTTCTGGTTGATTGCCATGAATGTTATGGGAGAAAGATTCTGGAATGGTCATTGCATATAAAGATAGAATACTTAGATTCCATAGGGATCTCAAAGAAAAAGCATAAATGCAGAAAGAAGAAAGGGAAATGGGATGGGAAATGGGATCCCTGTCTCTGCAATCCCATCTCACTGACTGGTGCTCTAAATGACCTGGTGGAATACGCGCAGACGTTGGCTGGTATAAAGAAGTTCACTAACTGCTATACACCTTTCATCTGTTCGTTAACTCAAGATTTCCCCAAGGGACAGATTACCTAATAGAAAGAGTCCTGGTCATGATCATCACAGTAGGTACTCGTCTATAGAGGTGTTTTTTTTTTTTTTAATTGGGGACATAATCCTCTATTAAAAATATTTCTATGAGAAAGATAAATTTAACTTAAGAAGTAGGTGGTTTTTGAGGTGGCATAATCCAAAGGGAAGGAGAACAAAGTGAAACTCATGATATAATTTAACAAAATGATCAAGAAGAGAAACACTACCAAATCTGAACTGCAGACTCCTAATGCCTTACAGTTACAAAAACGGAAAACTCTAACACTAACCCTTCAATTTATTTTAAGACTACCCAGGATCAAAGAGGGGCCCTGATGGCGCAGTGGTTAAGACCTCAGGCTGCTAACCAAAAGGTCCATAGTTTGAATCCACCAGCTGCTCCTTGAAAACTCTATGGGGCAGTTCTATTCTGTCCTATAGGGTCACTATGAGTCAGAATCAACTCAAAGGCAACAGGTTTGGCTTTTGGTTTAGGATTAAAGAATAAAAATAAATGAGAAGCATATAGTGATATTGGATGTTTAGAAACAGAAGATTAGAAAGATGCCAACTAATTTCATTTAAAAAGACACCAAAAAAACTTAAGCAGAGTTCCTTAAAAACAATAAGCTGTTTAGTTGCTATATCATGATACAGTGTAGTTGGCTGTTATAAATAACTATATAATAATTGTTTTCATAAAAGTTGCATAACAATTTTTTTATGAACCAGATAAACTTCATTTAAAAATTAATTTTCAAGCGCTCTAAAAATTTAGTTTGAAAATTTATCTGCCACCTAATCTCTTGATAATAAAACAGGTTTCTCTGTACTTCTTCACCAAATTTAATGGTTTTAAAACTTTCTGGGATCATGGATTACTGTGATAATCTGATCAGTATGATATAGATCTGTACTGTCCTAGCCACATGTGAGTATTTAATAGTATGTAACTAAAATTAAAAAACAAATTACAATTCAGTTCCTCAGTTACACTAGCCACATTCCAAGTGTTTAATAGCCACATGTGGCAAGTGGCTACCATATTGGACAACACAGAAATAGAACATTTCCATCACTGCAGGCAGTTCTACTGGACATTGCTGAATATACCATCTCCCCAGGAGTGGGGGCAATGGGATGCAAATATGCATATAACATCAGAAGGACAGGAAACGCCTAAATCTAGGGCTTTCAGATTAAAGCCCTCCCAATGGCAACGGGTTTTATTATTATTTTTTTTTAACTTAAAAAGGAGCCCTGGTGGCGCAATGGTTAAAAGCTACAGCGAGCTATGGCTGCTAACCAAAAGGCTGGCAGTTCGAATTTACCAGGCCCTCCCTGGAAACCCTATGGGGCAGTTCTACTCTGTCCTATAGGGTCGCTACGAGTCGAAAGTGACTCAACGGCAATGGGTTTTTTGGTTAACTAAAAAGACTTTCCTTATTGCATGCATTTATTTCTCTCAGACTATAATTGATCCAATTTGTATTTTCCCATGAAAGGTAGTAAAGAAATATTTTTAAAATTTACCTGATAATCTGTAGCTTTGAATTTTCCTGATCCTGCCATCCCACTCTCATATGCATGACTCATATGTATGCGAAAGCTGGACAATGAATAAGGAAGACTGAAGAAGAACTGACGCCTTTGAATTATGGTGTTGGCAAAGAATACTGAATATACCATGGACTGCCAGAAGAATGAACAAATCTATCTTGGAAGAAATACAGCCAGAGTGATCCTTAGGAACAAGGATGGCAAGACTTCGTCTCACATACTTTGGAGAAGTTACCAGGAGGGACCAGTCCCTGGAGAAGGACATCATGCCTGGCAGATGATCAATGAAAAAGAGGAAGACCCTCAATGAAATGGATTGACACAATGGCGGTAACAATGGGCTCAACCACAGCAATGACTGTGAGGATGATACAGGACCAGGCAGTGTTCGTTCTGTTGTACACAGGGTTGCTGGGAGTTGGAACTGACTTCAGGGCACCTAACAACATTATTCCAATCTAAGATTTAACTGACATTCTTTAAGCCAAATTCCAGGAGAAAATTTCTATGAGCTTTTTAAGACAGCTTGCCTCAGATTTCTGAAAGATTTTAAAACTCTTCGCATGAAAAGCCTACAATAAAAGATGAGGTGTCTCTTTTTTCAGATTCCATGTGAACCAAGTGGAAATAATTTGAATTTCTAATTCTTAGATAAAATATATTAATTATCACTACTTCTTTCTACTATTTGGCTTCATGCTACTGTATATATATTTCAAACTTATATGGGTTAAAACTGATGAAGCAGAAAAATCTGTTATATCATGTTTAATATTTTTATTTTGTATATTCTTATACTGAGAATATAAAAATGCATGATTTCTGAGAAATCATAGGTTAAATTTTAAGGTTACAGAGATTTTATTCATCATTTATTGCTATAAATATGTATAACAAGTGCACTGTGAAAGAATACTGGAATAAAAGCCATATTTACTTACTTGCAAGGAAATGTATGAATTAAAGAATCAACTTGGATGCATGGATATGGATAATGGGGTAAGCTGAAACTCGTGAATTTTATTGTGGCAAATACATATGTAACAAATCGTTTGCCATTTTAACATTCTTCACATGTACAATTCGGTCACATTAGTTATGGGACTAAATGAGTACTATTTTTAAAAGAAACATGGTCAAATTAGGCTTCCAAAAGACACATTCAAAAGATTTTCACATTGATTAAGATTATCTGTAATTCCCTAGAAAATGGAAGGAAGAAAAATAGACATTTGGAGATACGGAATTTTTGAAAAATGTTTTCTTTAGGTAAATATAACCTATACTTTTCAATATGGTTAAAAAACAGTGTTTCTTTTAACTATAAAAGTTCATTTTTTGGTAAAATATTTGGAACATTTATCACACTGCCTGAAAAACAATTATCATTAATATTTTGATGTTTTCCTTTTCAGTCTTTTCTCTGCATACTATATGAATACTTATATATAAATTTTTAAATATTTTTAAGTATAAAAATATGCATGTATAAATAGTATAAACAATACAGTGTTAATACTAAAAAGTTTAAGTACTAAAATTTGCTTACCTTTTTCTTTAAGATTTCGAAACAGCTTCGACGATCCTTTCCAAACTGGTGGTGTTTCTGAAAGCATTTGATTTAATTCCTATGACATAAATATCATAAACACTGATCAATAAGTAAACCACTTATTTATAAAATATATTTAAATAACCACACAAAAACATTCTCCATTTAAAAGATCTGAACATGGCAGTATGCATCCTACTCTAAAACTGTGGGTCACTCATGGAACAGAATTGAGAACCCAGATGTAAATCCATCCACCTACGGTCACCTGATCTTCGACAAGGGCCCAAAGTCCATCAAATGGAGAAAAGACA